TCCAGGAAATGATCCGGTGGGGCTTTTGACAATCAGTTTCAAAGTGCAGCTGTGTGTACAGTGGCTAAGGCGCTGAGCTTGTCGATCGAAAGATCGGCAGTTCAGCTGTTCGAATCCCTAGTGCCGCGTAACAGGGTGAGCTCCCGTTACTTGTCTCAGCTTCTGCCAACCTAGCAGTCCGAAAGCACATAAAAAATGCAAGTAGAAAAATAAGGACCACCTTTGGTGGGAAGGGAACAGCGTTCCGTGCGCCTTTGGCATTTAGTCATGCCAGCCACATGACCACGGAGACGTCTTCGGACAGCGCTGGCTCTTCAGCTTTGAAACGGAGATGAGCACCGCCCCCTAGAGTCGGGAACGACTAGCACATATGTGTGAGGGGAACCTTTACCTTTACACACACACACATTATTAGAATTTTTCAATGTAGCAAAACATTCAAAGCAAGGAAAAAATAGAAAATACAAAATACAGAAAGAAAATCTTAAGAAAAAAAATACAATTATGCTATGTCCTCCTCTTTCGATCAGTTAATTAACATCTTAATTTTTTTCCTCAACCTCTTTATCCTGGAAATAAGAACTGCTTCCGAAGCAGACATGGAAATTATGAAGAATTACTGTTCCGATATTTCTTTTAAGATGGGCAAGTTCCCCAGGCAAGTGTCTCTCAACTTTAGTTTAGCAGCCTTGAATTTCAGTGCTAAACAGGCTACAAGCCAAGTACGTATGATAGCAGCATGCTAGCTAGAGAATTCTGGGAGTTGAAGTCCATATCTGTTACGGTTGCTAAGTTTGAAAAAGCTATCCTAAGGCTGAGCCTTAAGCTTGGAGGAAGTCCGAGCCTTGTCAAAAGGTTTTTTTTAAAAAAAAAAATCCCTCTAGTTAAAGATATATTGCCATTACCCTATAGCAGGGGTGAAATGCTCCCGGTTCGGACCGGATCGCCCGATCCGGTAGAGATGGAGGCGGGTGGTTCGGAGAACCGGTAACAAAAATCCCCGCCCCCAACCCCATACCCAGCTGAGCCGCACAATCATCAGAGGCTTTTCTTTTTACTTTTAAAAGCATTTTTTCTACAACCTCTTCCGCTGAAAAAATGCTTTTAAAAGTAAAAAAAAAAAAAACGCCTCTGATGATCACATGGCTCAGCTGGCATCATCACAGGCATTTAAAAGAAAAAAACCTTTTTTTAAAAAAAGCTTCTGCCGATCAGGCAACTCAGCTTGGATCATCAGAGGTATTTAAAAGGAAAAAAAACTTTTTTCTTTTAAATGCCTCTGACGATCCAAGCTGAGTTGCCTGATCGGCAGAGGCATTTCAAAGAAAAAAAAGCCTCTGCTGATCAGGCAGCTCAGCTGGGATCGTCAGAGCCTTTTGAAAGCATTTTTTTTACAACCTCTTCGCATTTGTAGAAAAAATGAGTTTAAAAGTAAAAAAAAAAAAATTGGCCACGCCCATCCAGTCACATTACCCACCCACCCCACCAAGCCACGCCCACAGAACCGGTAGTAACAAATTTTAGATTTCACCACTGCCCTATAGCCAAAGCCTATTTAAAGAGGCTCTTCTTTTGATTGGCAGCAGCTGGAAAGAGGTGGGCTATGTGGAAAAGCCATTTATGAAGATCCCAAAGGAAGGTCTTAAGACACTTCTCGTCAGGTCTGTTGGCCCAGTAAGTAACCATGTTGATGTCTCTCATTGCTTAACTTTGGAAAGAGAATTTAAAAGCTTGGGGTTTTGTGGGAGTAACGGGTTGGGCTGTTATTAGCTTCTTGGTTTTGTCCTGAGGTTTTTTTAACCTTACTTTGCAACCCCACAACTTGAAATTCTTCGGATGTTTTGCTAAAGCTTCTTGAGTCCATCTCTCATCCTCTTTTTGGGAAAACTGGAAGGTTCAACCATATATTAAGCTCAGCGGATGCTTTGAGCACTTACGCCGGCAAGAGAGGGAGGAAAAATTATGAGCTTTTGATTAGACAGCTGTGGCTGCACACACCGCATGGAACTGCAAATCAAAGAACCACATTTTAACCAAGTATGTCGGGCATGTCCTAACGGAGTGATTTGTGGCTCGGTCTCTTTAAGTACCCGCACACTTGACTTCAATGAGTAAGCCACTGTTTTGATAAACATGGGTTTGTAGGTTTTCCAACACAGTCAGATGTCTTTAGATGTTGCTTGGCTATTGGGGCAGGTCAGAACTCTCTGCTGATTGTCTCTGTGTTCATTTAGCTGTTTGAAAAATATGGCAAGAATTCTGTTCCGTGTAAGAAATATATTTTGGTCTTGCAAGGCCCCACACTTATGCAAGAAGCTTTGTTTAATTCTTGCCTTTTAAAAACCAAGATATTTTGTTCACTCAACGCACTAGGTTTCAATTTACAAAATAAACCTCCATGGATGTGTTCCCACAGTGTGTTAATATTACTTCCCATGTTGTTGTGTTTTGATACATTTCCTGCATTGCGTCTTGCAATTACTTTGTAGCTGTTTTGGTAGTGTAGGAAGTTAGCACCCACCCCTTTCCTGGAAGAGTGAAATATTTTAGGAAATATGAAAAAGGCAGAATATTATATTTCCCTGGGATAAGCATGTTTTGAAGCAGCTCCCATCTTCCTGCCCCCACCCTTTGTCAATGGGCCATTAAGAGTTGGGCCAGTCTATTCTACATAACAAATATCTACCTCCTTCAGGCAGAGCCATAGTAGGAATGGCCAAAGATCCAACAAAGATAGGATTAGCCCTCTACACAATAGCAGCAGAAACTCACCACATGTGACCTGGGAAGCACATGTGACCATCAGTCAGCAAGGCTAGCTAAGACCCCCACCCCCTGGGAGTCTGACAACCAATCAGAATACTCTTTCTGGGCCCCAGGAAGTTCAAAGCCAGAGAGAGCATAAAACCCGGGGACTCGCTGACTCTCAGCCCATTTTCTGTTCAGGAACTCAAGCCATGTGATCCTGTCCACCATTAAACCATCTTTCCAAGCAATCTCCATGTTTCCAGTGTCTTTTTCCCCACTTGGAGCAGAACCTAGAAGGATGTTTCTTCCAACAGTAGTTTATTTGGTCTAATATAGTCTACTTTGTTTTGTTTTGTTTTATTTTTGTGAAAGTTCTGTGCCCAGAATTGTGTGGCATCATCAGTGAATAAGTAAATGAAAGGAATAATTTGGATCTCATCCAGGGATGGGAGCGAAGTGCATCAGCAACACTGTGTGTGTGCCAGTGGTGCGTTCCAACTGGTGTTAACACCGGTTCTCTTCATGCATGTGCTTTGTGCACGATGACTGCATGCATGCTGGCTTCGCTCTCACGCGCGCCAAACTTGCACTCCGCGCAAGAGCATGTTCTGGTCCGCCAGCAGCCTGTGGAGCTGACAGCAGAGTCAAATAGCAATGAGCAATGAGGAAGAACATGGGCCAGTCCTGGAGGCTGGGGAAGGCCTGGATGAGGGCTCTGCGTCGGAGGCAGAGATGGGGCCAGGGCCATCTGCGAGTGATGTGCGGATTCTAGAGCCTCCAGAGGCAGACAGCAGAGAGGCAGAGGAACAGGAGGAGCCTGTTCCTAGTGCACGCATGAGAAGAGCTGCCACAAGGCAAGAACAGCTAAAGCAAAAAGGACGACTCAGGAGTAAGGCCAAGAGATGATTGGCCCCTCCCATAAGGCTTAAAAGACCAGCCTTTCTTGGCCTCTTTGCCAGAAAACATTGAGAGAATTGCTTCTTGTTTGACTGTAGTTATTTCTTCTGTTCCTGAACTGTTGCCAAGAAAAGCCTTTGGTAATTTGCCTAATTGTCCCAAGGTCAGAGATAAACTAAAGACTGGTGTTTTGAGGACTTTGCTTTCATTTCATTTAGAATACGCTGAGAATGAGTTAATTCTCAGCTGTTTTAATAAAATCTGTTTGTTTTTTGGAACTGTTTGCATTTAATATCAACTGCAAATTGCTTCAGTTTGTGTTCCTCCTTAAATAGGCTAAGGGAGTGGCCAATTAGCCCCAAGCCTTACTCTCGAGGAGACCTCTTCCTGAGGAGCTACTCCTGCCTTTTGGCAGCTCTGCGCGCCCGTGCATCGAGAAGAGGCTCCTCCTCAATAAAAGGTAGAGCTTATATTGGGCACGTGTAAAAATCAAACTAGGACTTACTTTCTGAGTAGGTCATATTTTCGGGGAAACTGTAGTTATGGAAAGTGACAGTAATAATGAAGGAGAATATTTGTGGCTCAGGGTTAGAGCAGCATGGTGGTCTAATGGTGGAAATGCTTTCCTCCCACTCTGAAGCTTGGAAGTTCAGTCCTAGCAGCAGATGTTTCTCTCCTAGGGCGCAAAGAAAAGAAAAAAACCCTCTGCTGCGAACTTAATATAGGTGTCAGAAAAGACAACAGGCTAGTAAATGCTCAGCTTCCTCCAGCTACCCTGAAATAAGGGATTACAGGGTTGTAAAGAGGTACACGGTGGCTCAGTGGCTAAGATGCTGAGCTTGTCGATCGAAAGGTCGGCAGTTCAGTGGTTCAAATCCCTAGTGCCACATAATGGGGTGAGCTCTGGTTCCTTGTCCCAGCTTCTGCCAACCTAGCAGTTCGAAAGCATGTAAAAAATGCAAGTAGAAAAAGAGGGACCACGTTTGATGGGAAGGTAACAGCGTTCCGTGCGCCTTTAGCATTGAGTCATGCCAGCCACATGACCACGGAGACGTCTTCGGACAGCGCTGGTTCTTCGGCTTTGAAACGGAGATGAGCACCGCCCTCTAGAGTCAGGAACGACTAGCACATATGTGCGAGGGGAACCTTTACCTTAAAGAGGGGGAGAGAGATCTGTAGCTCAGATTGAAATGAGGGGTCCTTGGTGGTCTTTGAGCTTGGTAGTTTTCTTGAAGATGTTTCATTGCTAGGTAACATCATCAGTGATGGTAACCACCTTCTTTTAATCCCAGCTGGCACGAAAAATCACGAGTGGACCGGAAGAATCGTGAGTCATCTCCAGAGAGGAATCTCCTATGGCAACTCCACAAGTCTTGACGTCTTCTCCAAATGAGACATGGAAGGTCCCCGAGGGTCTTCCTGCTTCAGAGGAACCGGTTGAAAAAGAAATCAAGTCTAAAGTTCCTCCCAAAGAAGGAGACTCCTGCCCAGGGTCCTCCAGAAGATCTACCCGAATAAAGCCTTCCAAGCACAAGGAGCGTAGGACGACTTTTCGTGGGGAAACTGGGCTAGCGAAACACTTGAAGGGACATGCCAGGGCCAGGATCTTTAAGTGTGTGATATGTGAGAAGAGCTTCAGCAAAAAATCAAGTCTCTTAATACATCAGTGGAGCCCCACACATTCGAAGGGTTTGGTAGATCTTCAATATCGGGCAACAGACCATGACAAAAGCCACCTTAGAAAGCCCAGAAAAGAGAGAACGTACCGCTGTCAGAAGTGTAGGAAGGTATTTTTTCTTCGTGAGAATTTCATAAAGCATCAGAAAATCCATTTGCCACCAGTGCCGGGCCAAGCTCAAGCAGGTACGGTTGACCTTTGGCTTTCGGGAAGAGACGGGATGTTCACACATTGCACTAAGCCCTCAAAGATGTATGGTGGCTTAGTGTGGTGTACAAAGGCGGTCACTTTTGTGTAGGTGTTGTTTTGCAACCTATATGCAGTGAAGTTAATAAGTAAGTCCTAGATTTACAACTCTGAAAAAAGGCGACTGGTCATTTTTCAGGCTTACAACCATAACGGCATCCCTGAGGTTGCATTGTTCTGTTCTGTTCTGTTCTGTTCTGTTCTGTTCTGTTCTGTTCTGTTCATTCCTCTCCTCTCCTTTCCTCCACTCTTCTCTCTTCCCTTCTTTCCTGTCTCCTCTCTTCTCTTCTCACTTCTCTCTTTTCTCTTCTCCTTCTCCTTCTCCTTCTCTTCTCTTCTCTTCTCTTCTCTTCTCTTCTCTTATTCTATTATCCCTTTCCCTATTCCTTTTTGTCCTCGTTAAAATAAACTTTATTAAACATAAAAAATGTATTTTGTATGTACTTGATTTGATATTTTATCTTTTTATGTTTAATAAAGTTTGTTTTAACGAGAGAGAAAAAAGGGAATATAAATGTATTTTGTATGTACTTGATTTGATATTTAATCCCTTTCCCTATTCCTAATTCTAATTCTTTTCTATATTCTGCTCTGCTCTGCTCTGCTCTTTCTATTCTATTCTCATGTCTATGAAGATTTTAGATTATTCAGCTCATGGTTATCACAGAGGTGCTTTTTCCAAAAGGCAACTGGAATTTATTTATTTTTTCCTTTGAAAACCTTTTGCTTCTCATCCAACTTCATGAACTGAAGAAGCTTCTTGGATGAGAAGCAAAAGGTTTTCAAAGGAGAAAAAAGAAAATCCAGCTACATTTGGGAAAAAGCACCTTTGGGACTTTATTGGCAACAATGCACTGACCCTCTTCAGTTTGCTTCTTAAGCCAAGAGTTCAAGACAGTGGTGGGTTCCTCCCGGTTTGCCCCGGTTCTGCTGAGCCTGTAGCGATGACGATATGATGTCACCGAACTGGTTCTCTTTGTTCGGGAGCTGGGGCCTCCGCCCCCTGTTATTCTTACTTTTTATTTGGCCCTGCCCCTAATCTATTTGCTGCCTCCAAGTCCCAGCTGATCAGCTGGAAGGAAAAAAAAACTATTTAAACTCTTGCCGCAGGACTTCAAAGGGCTGCCCTACAGCTGATCAGTGTTAAAAGGCAGTGGGGTGGTAGACCAGTACGCTCGAAAAACAAATGGGTAAACCGGTGCCTCCAAAAACAAATGAGTAGACCAGGACACTCCAAGAACAAAGAGAAATAAACAAAAGAGCCTGGTGGCGCAGCAGACTAAAGCACTGTTATTAACAGTTATTAACACAGCTGCCTGCAATTACTGCAAGTTCAAATCTCTCCAAGGCTCAAGGTTGACTCAGCCTTCCATCCTTTCTAAGGGAGGTGAAATGAGGACCCAGTTTGTGGGGGCAATAAGCTGACTTTGTATAAAATATACAAAAGGATGAAGGCTTTTGCTTAACGCATTGTAAGCCGCCCTGAGTCTCCGGAGAAGGGCGGCATATAAATCAAATTAAAAAAAATAAAAATGGGTAGACCAGTGCCTCCAAAAACAAATGGGTAGACCAGGATGCTCCAAGAACAAATGGGTAGACTGGCACAGCTCTGCAAGCATTTAAAAGCCTGGTAGACCAGTACCTAAATCCTAAAGAATTGTCACATGACCATCAAACCACGCCCACAAAATAAGCCACACCCACAGAACCGGTAGTAAAAAAAATTTAGAACCCACCCCTGCTTCAAGACAAGCAAACCTCTTTTGTGGTTGTATTTTGTGGGTGAACAAACCTCAGCACCCCCCCCCCCACCCCCCAGTGCAGAAAATGAATTTTATTCACTGTCCACTTGAGTGTTTGGGAAGTTCGAAGCTCAACTCTTGAAGCTCCAAACCATGGGAACCCTTTAACATGGAGACTTTTCCCCTCCTTCCTTCTAGGGAATCCTTCGATAGACCGGAAAGGCAAAGCAAAGAAAGCAGGAAGCGATCAATCTGAATTACTGCTTGAGGAAAGTAAGTGTATAAACCAGTGATTGCTAACCTTTTCCGAACTGAGTGCCCACAACTCATGTGTGTGCGCACGAATTTGTGTGTGTGCGCCCGAACCCCCAAAATACTTCCACGCATGTACCCCACCCCCTGTACATGCGCACGCAGCCCCCTGCACACGCCCCCTGTGCATGTATGTGTGCCCCCCCGCACATGCCCCAACCCCTATGCATGTGCACGCGTCCCCCGCACACGCCCTGCCTCTCGCACATGCATGGCAGAGACCTGAAGACCAGCTGGCCGGCGGGAGGCACTTGCACACGGACGGCGGAACTGAACTGGGGCGATGGCTCACATGCCATCAGAGAGGGCGCAGCATGCCACCTCTGGCACGTGTGCCATAGGTTTGCCATCAAGTGAGGGGGGGGCTGCTGGGGGTTCACAGGGGTTCGGGAGAACCTCTAGCTAAGATTCTGTGCAGTTTGGAGAATCCACAAATCCCACTCCTGGCTGGCCCCGCCCACCCCTCCCCTCCCAGGAGTTCCCATGCAGCACATTTTGGATGCAGGTAAGTACAGGGTGCGCACGGAGGCTCAGGGAGGGTGAAAAACGGGCCTAGTGGAAGTTCAGGAAGACCGAAAATGGGCTCGTTTCCAGCCTCCAGAGGGCCTCCGGAGCCTGGGGAGGCCTTTTTCACCCTCCTGGAGGCTCAAGGAAAGCCTCCGGAGCCCGGGGAGGGCAGAAACGCCCCCCCTCGCTGTGGTGCAGGAGGATGACTAGGCCACGCCCACCATGGCCACGCCCACCCAGCAACCGGGCAGAGAGCACCTTGCTAAAATTTTTGAAGCCCGCCTCTGCCATCACGGGTATAAACATTCAGCTGGATTGTTGTGTTGTGTTGTGATGGGAAATGACACCAACCTCTTTCTCCACAGTGACCAGCATGAAGCTGAGTTTGGACCTGCTTATCCTCAACCAACAAGCTCAGCTCCAGGCCTTGCGAGGAATTCAGAGCCAACTGAATATTCTTCTGCCTGGAAATAATTTAATCAGTTCCAACGTTTACCGCCTTGGCGTTCTGTTGAGTCAGCAGGCTGCAGCAATGAGATCCGTATCTTTCTCTTTCTTTGTCAATCCCAGCAATCCCCTTCCACAAAGCGCGTCTAATTCTTCTTCTTAAATATCTTCTTAGTCCAATATAAAGTGAGCTGCTCCAGGGGCTCCTGACGAGCTTCAGATTTTTTTTCTTCTTTTTTAGAATTTGTCAAACATTTCCTGTAGATGCTTTTTCTTGAACGAATTTAATTCTATGTCCCCAGCCCAGCCCAAATATCTTTTTAATGTAATTACCTTGACTTGTTCAACCATGGCATCTATTCCCAAATTTTAATGTAGGTTTCCATTGCATTATAGGACTATCTTGTTTCATTTAGACCCAGTTTAGCGTAAGATTGTTCCATCTGTCTTTGCATCTATAGTTGAACCACAGGGAGATCTGGCTTACGGTTTCTTTACCTAAAAAGCACTCTGTAACATTAAATTCTGAGAGATCTGTTTTAACACACAACTAACCCGATCTATTAATTTTTAAATCCCCGTTCAGGACTGGTCTGTGTTGACACTCACTGATTTTAACATCTCTTATGATGGCTGGGTCCCTAGAAGAGAGTTATCCCAGCAAGGTGGGTACCCTGGCCGATACTCATTTCAAGATCGGGGGTGGGCTTCAAAAATTTTAGCAAGGGGTTCTCTGCCCAGTTGCTGGGTGGGCGTGGCCTAGTCAGCTTCCTGCACCAGGAGGGATTTTTGCCCTCCCCGGGCTCTGGAGGCTTTCCTCGAGCTTCCGGGAGGGTGAAAACAGCCTCCTCAGGCTCCAGAGGCCTTTTGGAGGCTGGAAACGGGCCCATTTTTGGCCTTTCCAAACTTCTGGTAGGCCCGTTTTTCACCCTCCCTGAGCCTCCATGCACACCCTCTACTTACCTGCATCCAAAACAGGCCGCGTGGGGACTCCTTTGAGGGGAGGGGAGGGGTAGGCGGGGCCAGCCAGGAGTGGGATTTGGGGGTTCTCCAAACTGCACGGAATCTTATCTAGAGGTTCTCCTGAACCCCTGTGAACCCCCAGCAGCCCCACCCCTGTTCAAGATGTACAGTTGAGTAATGTTATGTTTAATAGGACAAATCTGATTCCAAGGCTTTTGACGTCTTGAAAGAATGAGCTTCAGGGAAGAACTCCAACATAAATTGCTTGTATTTTTAACCTCAGTGTTTTTAGCTTTTTTTTTTTCATTCGTCCAGAGAATTGAGAAGACCTGCTTTCCCTTTAAAAAAAATTTGCTTAACTTCTTTGACATTCTATGTTTCCCTGACGGGTGTCTGATTAACTAGTCTGGGAAACTGTGATGGAAGCTTCTACTGTTGATAGCCTTTTACCCTTGTTAACAACAAATTTTTGATTAGTTTGACAACCGGGTTCATTATCAAATGAATTAAATAAACATGATATGCTGACTTAATTCTGTGCTGTTCTTTAGCTTCTGACTTATTTCTTTCTCACCTCAAACACAGTCAGCTGTCTTTGACAGAGGCGGTAGGTACAGAAATGTGGGGGGGGGGGAAATTGATTGGATAAAATACACCTCTAAGAAGATAGAAGGAATAGATCAGACATCCTGTTCTGTCCCCGTCTCTCACACACACACACAAACAGACAGCCGGGGGTTAAACAAACTGGCAGTCAACCAATTCTTCCGATAAGACGCTTGGCAGCAACCCAGTAGCTGCTTGCCAAGAACTTTTACTCAATAAACAAAATACCCACAGTCAAGAATTGTCCAGTTCGTAAAATAAATCCAAGGCCAGTAATGTTGTTTCCAAAGATGCAATGTGACTTGATAGTAGTTAGTTTTGTCCGTCACAGAGTCTGAATGGCCACCTCACCCCCTTTTATACCCTGTGGGGTGTGGTCCAGTGACTCAGCCTAATCTCTGGCACGCCTTTTCTTCTGTTGCACGCACTTATCTCTGCGACGCTGCCGAGGATCCAGCCAAGACTCATTACCCTCATCACTATCCACCTGTGGCTGCGTGGACGTGCTTGGCCCCGACCCTATCTCTTGCCCTTCGGCGGACACCGAAGGCATTGCCAGAGAGGAGGGTCCTGGAGAGGGAGGCCTTGCCAACTCCTCTCCTTCACTCTCGGATTCCTCTCCTGCTGATGACACAGGCTCAGGTAATGGAGCCACAACACATCCAGCCCTTGCTTATCAATGGAGACCGAGTGGAGCAAGTGGCCAGTTTTAAGTTTCTGGGTATTATCATAAAAGAGGACCTGACTTAGGGTGCTCACATTGCAGCACTGGTCAAAAGGGCCTGTCATACCCCTGTCGGAGTCTGGATCCGAAGGGGAAGATGAACAGCTGACAGAGAGTGAGAGAGTGGCTCCGTTGGCTGTGGAAGAAACCGGGGAAGGGCAAAGTCAGGCTGGACAGAGCAGGGGAGAAGTAAAACAAGGGAGAAGGGGGTTCAGATGAAGACCAAGGTCCACCCCCCCTCCTCATCCTAGGCAGCGCAGGGAAGAACGGAGAAGAGAGGGTTGCGTGGCTTACGAGGGAGAAAAGGGCCCTGATTCCCTTCACAAGGCACACCTGGGGATGGAGTTGAAAGGAGAGGCAAATGGGAGGGGCGGTTATCGGGAACAAAGGATGAGTTCATCCTGTTCATTGTTTATCTGAGTTCCTGGCATCCTCCCAACTGGTTTGATTTACTGCCGTGCTATTTCACTTCTGGAACTCCTTATCTTGCTGCCCTGCGGGATTAATTACCTTATCTTGCCTTGTTGAATTAATAGTTGGAAGTTTTCTGCTTACAACGTTTGGGACTGAAGTATTGTCAGCCAAAGACTATTACAGGTTGGTGGAAGAGCTCTCTCCAGGCCGGAGAGTTGAAAGGGACATTGGGGGCACAGTTAGTGATAATAAAGGGAGTCATACCGGTTCTCTGGCTGTGTTGCCTTTGTGTCATGCCCTGGATCATCACAGGGCCCAGCAGAGATTATACTACCGGAGACTTCTCAGGAAACAACAACTGAATGAAAAACTGCTGGTGACCTTCTACCGCTGCACCATAGAGAGCATTTTAACTTACTGCGTCTGTGTACGGTTTGCCAATTGCACAGTGGCAGATAGGACAGCGCTCCACAGGGTTAACGTCAATGCCCAGAGGATCATTGGGTGCCCTCTCCCCTCCTTGGAAGAGCTTTATAGCTCCCGCTGCCTTAAGAAAGTTCAAAACATTCTTAAAGATCCATCTCATCCTGGGCACCCCCACCTTTTTTTTTGAACTATTACCATTTGGCGGACGGTACAGGTCAATAAAAACAAGATGTCAGCGTCTCAGAACTGACATAGAAAAGGGAGGAGAAGCCTGAACTTTTGCCTGCTAAATCCCTTTGAAGATTCGGTCTCCTCGGAGATGGGGAGGGGGGAGACATTCCTGTGACCTGACGAAGAAAGAAATCAGGAAACAAGGACAAACTGGCTGAAAACCAGCTTCTATCCCAGAGCAGTAATTATATTGAATTCTACTGTATAGTGCAATACTAATGGAATATCGGAGGTTTTCAGTTCAATTGTATAGAATGTGAAGGCTGTGTGTTTGTGTTTTATTTTTATAGTTACAATGCACACTGAAGATGGCATTTAATTTCCTTGTACGAGGTGCAATGACAATAAAGTAAGCTAAACTAAACTAAACCAGTAAACTAAAGTAAGCACCAGAGGTATAACTTTGCTTATTGCATCTCTCCTTTTAGGAACAAAGGTTTCTGGGAATGCTATGGACATAGGATCCTTAAGGGTCTGGGTTCCTGTATAGTGAGGAGGTCTCTGAAGGCTCTCTACAGAGAGGATGCACCCATTAAGCCAGTTTAAGTCTGTGCAAGGCATGGACTCTTTTCATGGTATTTAAATCTGCATGTAATCTCCTTTTTCTTCTTCTTGTGCCATATCTGTCATCGGACATTGGCAATCATGTTGGCGATCCTATTTTTATCAACAGCCGCATGAAAAAGCGCTGCTGAGTTTTGTCCAAACCGGTCCCTTAGATTTTGAAGCCATGCTGTTCTTCTTCTGCCTGGACTTCGTTTGCCTTCAATCTTTCCCTGGAGGATTAAGTGAAGGATGCCGTATTTTTCCGGGTGTCTCATCCCACGTTCCAAAATATTCTAACTTTCGCTTTTTTATGGTTTTGATGATTTCCCTGGGCTTTCCCAGGAGGCTTATCACCTTCTCATTTCTGATTTTGTCAACCCAGTTTATATGGAACAGCCATCTGTAAATTCCATATTTCAAATGCTTCTAGTCTCTTCAAGTGGCTTGCACGTGTCGGCAGGTGTCACACATAGGCGGTTGTGATGTATATTTTGAGTGACAGGGAGCCGCAGCAGAGGGATGAAAGAGCCACATGCGGCTCCAGAGCCGCAGATTGCAGATCCCTGGACTAGTGCCTTATGCTGTAATAAAGACACCCACACACTTTTGCATTCTTCCCACCATAATTTCAGGACTGCCTTCTTGTATTCCTGAAGCACCACAACAAAGGGACACAAACACACACACAAACGAATGCTTGAATATGTTGCATAGCTAAGCTTTTTTAAAAAAACAGAGTAGTGTTTTTCTAAAAAGATTTATTAATTTGCTGGGTTTGAATGACTAGTGTGATATTGTTAGGATATGGTGTAAGCCTAACAGGTTGTCCAGGCAATATATGAGTTCTATAACTTTAAATGTATTCTGTAACTTTAAGATGTAATGCTGAGTAATTGTACTGCTGAGTCATTGTAATGATTAATGACTGCTGACTGACTGCTGACTGCAATTATCCTAATTGTACTGTTGAGTCATTGCACTGCTGACTTCACTTATCTTAAGTGGATAATTACTAGTGTAAACTGTGTATAATAAGGGAGCCGAGCTATAGTCATTGTTGGACCTGCTCTCATCAATGTTGGACCTGCTCTCATCATTGTTGAAGAAGCTTTCATCGTGGATGGATCTGCTACAATTGTGATTTGTTACCAGCATTGAATTGCTGTTTATTACCTACTGCTGTTTTGTATGGTAGGAAGATTTCTGTAACTCCGGACTGATTTGAATGGCTAAAGACTTGGATTGACTAAAAGACTATGCAATTGTTTTTCACTACAAAGCAAAAGCTTTGTTAAACCAGTTTGTATGTATTGTATTCATTGCTCTCAGTGCCGTTTCTCTGTGCACTTGCTCTGCTGGTTGGTTAACACAACAATATCCTTAACAGAT